GTGCTGGCTCGTTCACAGTCTGTTGCAAGGGTGGGAAGCATACGGTCTGGTGCCTGGTTGTAGCTTGTTATTCAATTTATTATGGACTGTGGACTCACTGTTTTTGCAGGGCGAGGGGGGATGGTATTCCTCTAATGCTATAGTTCTGTTAACATATACGGTCTATCAAATTTATCTGAAAGTCCTCAGTGAAGAAAATGTTCATCACATTGGTCTGATGCATAGGGTGTGGGAACCTCATCCAATTCTCATGGAAATCAAAGATTTAATTTAATTTTGAATCAGATTCTGTAGACACAAAGGTCTGGTGTAGCAAAAGCTAGATGTTTCCACAGGCTGCAGCTGGGCATGGCAGCCTTGCAATAGTCTACATCTGCCTGAACGTTGTGAGTATAAATGATGTATTCACTCTTAGGCCTTTTCCTGCTAACATAGAGATAGTGAAGCATGATGAAGGCACAACCATTGATGTTGCAGACTGTATGAATTCACACACTGAAATCTCTCGCATTTGTTTTATAGACCTTCCTTTGTTTTCTCCAACCCCATCATGTCCAGAAATAATCGATAGTCCATAAATGGTTAGGGTAGTTGTCTCTTCCCTTCTAGTCCCACTATACTGCACACCAGCAAAGCTTTTGCCCCTTTATAGAGGGGTTAATAGTCAATTGTCTTACAGTGAAGGATTATTGAGTTGGAGCCACTGAGGAGTCACCCATAGGAAGGGAGTCTTGTGGTGAAAACTTTGTGTCTATGCAACCGCAACTTGGCTCGCCTTCTTGGTGTCAGTAAGAGGCACAGTGTAAGTAGAAAAATGAAATTTTACAGCATTCGGAAGGAATTTCTTAATGTTTAGTTTTTGAAAGGTTGCCTGAGTCCCTAGCGGTTTTTTTGTTTCTAGATTTTGTAAAAACAGTGTATAGAAAACTGGTGAACCAAAGTGTAGACAGAGGCACGTCTGTTACCACAGCCCTCCCCAGGGTGCACACTGTAACCTCTGCTGCCAGAGTACAGACTTCCCAGCTGGTCTCGGTCACCTATTCAAAATGCCAAGGGTCTCCTTTATAATTTGCCCCATGTTGGCATCATTTCGTTGTGGTGAAAGGTTGTCGGAGAGAAAACAAAACCCAGTGTGTTGAGGCCATGAGGCAAGGACTGCAGAACATTGCCTTGGAGTATAGCTGGTAAAAGTTATAAAACTGGCTTTTCCTGTAGAAGGGATCCACTGTTGGTTCCTTCAATTAAATCTCTCACAAAAAATGGACTAGTAGTATAACCGGGAGAGGAATCCAAGTAACTAATCTGAGAAGTCCACATGGACTGTAAAACAGGCTGTGTCAGGACCTTGAAAATGCTGTACCAGGACTGTAAAATCTGTTTTGTTCCAATGCAGCATTTCAAAATCCAGATCACAGTGTTGTAAAGTGTAAGCAGGTGCAGGCTTGGAGAGCAGACCTAGTCCAGTACAGAGATGCAGCAGTGAATTTGAATCTAAACTTGGATTTGGTTGCAGGGATCTGGTTCATGTCCATAACTGCTAGCAGCATGCTGTAGGATCATAAAGCCCCTTTTGAATAATTCTGTGGCAGTTGACAGTCCCCTTTGTAAAAAATAAAATAAAATAAAATTGTCATCATTTCAGGACAATAGGTATGCTTTAGTTTCAGTAATAAGAAGTACTTATTAGCATGGATGCACTGAGATACGTTCACAGACTATGAATTTGTTTTCATCTTTTGAGAATTATAGAAGAGAATTCTGGGATAAATAAAATGAAGCGTCTTTTTTCATTTTTGTTCTGAGCTGCATGCAGGAGAAGACAGTGAAAGTTTTTTATTCACAGGTACAGAAATAAAGTAGCGGCACAGTCCATTCTGAGAGGCACAGCATAGATGCAGATACAGATCACGTGGTATATCTGCTCCCTTTTCAGAACAGACGTTACAAACAAAGCAATACTGAATTTTTAAACCTCCCTTTTAAATCTAAAACATTCATATCTACAATGACTTTTTACTGATACTCTGATAATTCCTGTAACGTAAGACAATCTACACAAAGAAGCATTTGCCTGCTGCAAAGGAATTGTATACATCCAAGAAGCAGGCAAGCAGCAGATGCAGCATGGAGAGAGAGATTTTAACAGGACATATGTATGTTAAATATTCAAGCAAATACAGATGATCAATACCTGTTGTTATTATGTGACCTATTTCTTGTTGTCAACAGTCATAAATAGGAATGATACAATACTATACTACTACCTTGCCAATGAACCTCAGCATTGTACATACACTCACACAACTTCTATTTACGAAGTCTGAGAATATAAACAGAGCATGAAGCATGACCGAATCATATAGCCCCATATGCCAGTCCACCGAGGTGGCTGGATAGATAAATCCAAAGGTGCCCATCATACAGGGATGTGTATGCATTCGCATTCACATGTCAGTCAGATCCCGTGTATGTCTTCCCACTGGGAGAGCAGAGCTCACTTAGGAGGTGCTGTAGACCTGACTCCAGACTGCTGTGAGCCATGAATGTCTCAAAATATTAAAAGCAAACAAACAACAACAACAAAACCCCCCAAATATTCTTCTGTAGCTGTGTAAACTATACTTTTAAAATGCTCATTTTAAGTAGTCTGACTTTTTTTCATGCTTGAGAAATTAATTACACGGTGAGCTATCTACTTAATTTGAAGTTTTAAATGCAATAGTAGGTATATGGATTTTATACATATCTATGTAAACAAGAAATGTTTTGCAGAAAGTATTTGAGAGAACAACTCCGTCCTTTTTTAGACTGTAATAATAGTACATAATGTACTACAAGTAAAATTACATTCTAAGTAAATGTAATCACTACCCTTTTGTGGTATCTGGAGGTCTCTGTGACTGATTAGTCATATTCTGCATATTAAGTACTCTAGGGTCAAGTGTCAGAGCACCATATTTCCTATTGATTTTGTTCAGAGTTGCGTGGACAGATCTTTAGAGCTGCGTGAGTAACAATTTCTGTGATTCACTAGCAATTCTGAAAAATAAGAAACTCTCCAACTGGAAAGCACAATGTAATTTTTTTTTTTTTCTAGTGAATAAATAGACTGGGACAACCAAAACGTTTTGTCAACCATCTTTAATAAAAACAAAGGAAATTTGGAATCAAAGGGCTGCATTCAAAGGAGCATGTGGCATCAATTCATAAAAGCTGGCAGGAAATACTGCTCATATATGTCTTTGGACTCCTGAGAGATAAGAGCCTGAATTAAGTCCCTCCTATAAATAAGTTAAAGGATAGGCGTAAGCCCACGTTTTGGAGATAGTGAAGGAACATGGTAAGCAGCGGGCCAGGGAGTGTGGAGTATGTAACTATTTGAGTGGCTTTGGGAATAGTGCCTGTGCCTCCCTTGGAGTCGCATATTAACCTAAAACATTTCTTCTTGAGAACGCTAAACCCATTTTTAATGTTTTTTTTTTTCTTTTTTTTTAAATTTTGTTTTAACCCAAACTATTGCTGTAGCTGCCTTTTTAGATATTTTTCAGAATATTTTCCCAAACTTTTTCCAAAGTGTGATGGAATGCTTTACCCAGGTCTAGTCTGATGACTCTTCAGCTGAGAATGCAGTTCTTCCTTCCCCACAGTAACAGTGCTGTGGAGGCCCAGAACTGGAAGAGTTTGGTCTGTCTTGCTCTTCCAGAGTGGGATGCTTTTACTAGCAGCTAATGTAGATGCTGCCTCTCAAAATGAAGGGTTTTGTTTACCTTTCCCTCTCCCCCTCAAATCTCCATCTGAATTATGTTTTATCAGTGAAATCACTCCTGCTTTGTGCAATCCACTGGGAAGACTAATAAGTGTCTTTCATAACTACAATCTATATGTGCTGGCAAAGTTGAATAAATTTACATATATGAAAAAGAGCAAATTTAGATAATTGAACAGTACAAAGCTTTGTGCTGAGAGCATACAATACTATCTCTTTCACCAGATGTGTGTGACTAAGCAGCCTCTTATTACTGGTTGCAGAATGCTAACTCCAGAAAAGGACATTAAAAGTCTGGCCTTTAAATATAGATGGAGGGAAATAGTTATTTACTCAGTGCAAGAAATTGCAAAGTGGCAAATTACGTGGCCAGTGGAGATCGGACAATAAAATCTGCTTTTCCAGGATTGCATTTTTCATAAAAGGACAATGCTGTAGTAGGCTAGATAGTTTATTAGGAAAATTACTAACAGAAAAGTACAATTTCAAAATACATGTATGTATGTATGAGAATCCTCACTATATATACAGTTATTTCATTGTATATGTTTATTCACGTGAACTCATAACAAAGCAGGGAAATGCCAGCTTCTTGCTTTTATCAACAGATACCTAAGAATAGACTGCTGGACCTTGCATTCCTTCAATGTCAGGAGCTTTAAGTTAGAAGGCAAAAGAGAGACAGGGAGGAAGTATATGGTTTTTCCAAGTTTTATGCTTTGTTCAGGAAAAAAAATTCTAACCTGTGCTTAGAGTCATTTTTCCCATGAGCAGCTCTTGAACTACAAGCAGTGAAGAACTAGGCAGAAGATTTTAGATTTATTAAGCAAAATCAAAAAAACAGAGGGAGCTAAATTTAAGAATGCTGCTAAAATGTAGATTCATCATGTGCCGTGTTCTTCATCTTTGCCCAGATGGCATGGATGATTGTTGGCCAGAAAAAATTAAATTTGCATTCTTAACTCTTCTAAGCTGAGTGGGTCCTCATAGTGTTAGCCAGTGGCTTTTACTAGAGTGTTACAATAAAGATGAGCAGTGAAATACTTTTGATCTGATGTACTGCATACATCTTCATGAAACATTTTTGATTCAGAGCTTGAGAAGGGGGAAGTTGCTTTTTGCAATCAGGAAGAGGCAGCTAATAACTCAAAATCCAGCTCAGGCAGAAGCTCCTGATACTACGGCTACTATCTTCCCGTGGCAATGAATTCCTTCTCTTTGTTGTGACACATAGGTGAAAAACATGCAGCAGAGCCAGACGATGCAGAGCTGCTGAGCCTCAGCAAAAGGCTGGTGGAGAACGCGGTGCTGAAGGCTGTACAGCAATATTTAGAAGAAACGCAAAGCAAAACCAGACAAACTGATGGAAGCCCTGCGAAAACTGAAACAGCAGCAAGCGGCAGTAAGAATGAGAGCGACAATGATAACACCAAGTGAGCGCTGTGCAAAAAGCCCGGGAGCAAATATGCCACCAAGAATAACCACAAAAACATGTCCCAGCTCCCCGCTGAAATTTGCTAAGTGGTGCTGGGTGACAGGCACTCTACTTTGTGAGTCTCTTATCAAAAGTTTGTTCTGAATCGAAGGACACTGTCTACTGGTTTAATAAGTGCTTGCACTGCTGAAAATTTGTTGAATGCTGGGAGGGAAGGACGGTGGAAAAAGGACAAGAATGGTGAAGCAGGCGGCTCCAGTCTTCACTGGCTCTTGGTACCGAGGGTCCCTTCCTTGCTTTTGAAGAGAAACTGAACCCTTTGAGTTTGCCTTTTGGGTTGTCATGAATGGCCGTGGAAGAGGCCTTGCCAGAAGTGGAAGCGATGCCCTCCGCCTGAGGGTTTGGCACTGCCGCAGGGCTGCTTACTCCATGCCAGAGCACATGCTGTTTCCCAGTCAACAGCAGTCAACCGCAAGCTAAAAATTACCGCTACAGATATTCATCGCAGATACTATTACACAGTATGTAATATGGCAGCAGTTTCTCTTAAATGTGACTCTGTACTGTTCTTTACTTTTTGGTAGCATTTGTTGATGTAAATTATATTTTTTTGACAAAGTACTTTTTTTATAAAAAATCAATATGGGCAAAAGGCTGAGCAATTAATACTGTCCGAACCAGATACGATCTCTTTATCTCCATACATTAAGGACTCTAAATGACATTAGTTGTTATAAAATGTATTATATTGTTCTTTTCCTTTAGGAAAGAGCCATGAAGCAGACTTAGTAAAGGAAGCTTTGCACAGAGAAACACAGGCCCTGTTATCCAGACTGAATCAGATAAAGGAGCTGTTATCCAGTCCTGAGATCCGCACGAAAATAAGCAAAGAACTGTTTGAAGACAGGCACAACTGTTAGCAGTAAATGGAAAAGTTGTATCGACTCTGGATCTCCAAATGCATGATTGTAAATGCCATGATATAAAATCTCATCGGGTTGTTTAAAGACAAGAAATTTTCTTTTCTGTTTCTTTTTTACTGAAAATATGAATGGGTGTAAATGGCTCATGAGGAATCATGCTGAAATACTTGCGCAGACGGATTGTATTTCATAATGATGAAGTACAACCACTCCTCAACACTGCTTTGGAAAATGCCTGAATGTGCAGGTGTATGTCATGATTCCAAAGTGGAAAAAATAATAGTTTCAAGTAAATCTGAGCAAACACTGTGCCCTTCCTTTATCATTGCAGATAATTCAGATTTTTCTCATAGATCCCTTCCCTAGCAATGATATACAAATTTTAAAAAATGAATGCTTTTAAATACTTAAAAATGTATAGTTGAAAAAAAAAATCTTTTAATTATCTGTCTTTTGGATATGTACTGGCATTTTTGGTTAGCACTGTCTAGTTTTTATTTTTTTTTAAACAGCACTTGAATACTTGTATAGATGCTGACATGTTGTTTCTGCTGATGTTTACACTAATGTGAGAATGTTTCAGATTTCAGAATGAAATTCAGGCTCAACTGCTCTCAATGGCAAACTCTCATTGGCTTTAATGGAGTCAGAATCCTGCAGTTAAGATTTCTCGTGAAAAAAATAATATTCCTTGGGATAATACTTGCTTTTTTACTTTTGTAGAAAAGTGGTTTTGTCTTTTGTTTTTGACGTTTCCTCCATCTCTGCCTTCTGCTGTCTGAGGTGGGGTGTCAGTTTGCTCTCATTGTTCCCTCTGCACACCTCCAAGATTCACTGAAGCTTTGGATGTACAGCAATGTGGGATTTAGGTCCAATATTTGCATTTTTTATAAACATTGTTTAAAATTGCCTCTGAACATAAAAGCTGTATAATATATGTTGTGATTGGTATCGGAACTGTGCTGTTTGTTAGAACAGCTGTGTGCATATTCTTCATGGGTCTCAACTACTGGTCATTTATCTCATGCATCAGAGCTTATTTTTTTTTTCTCATTTGATGTATAATGGTATATTCTGAAATGTCTCATACATGCCATGTTCACGATAAAGTATTTTTTCCTTTGCACTCTGTACATTTTCACCCATCTCTGAATGGATTTTAATAAAATGAAGTACTTGTAAGTAACAGGATCGACGGAAACAGTGCTTCTATGAATCACACCGTTAAGTGGACTACAGGTGTTGTGCCAAGATACTGATCTACAGCTCGGGTGCTGAAATCATCTGAAGAAATTAATGCAGATAAGCCAATCCCCAGTCATTATTGTTTTAAATGTCAAAACTTTGAAACTCTAGGGATTAATTTATTCCGGGCAGTGTAGGTTTAGAAGGAATTAGTGGTACAACTTCCCAGAGGTCCATATCCACTCTTCAACATCAAAAATTGATTTAGAGTTTAACGAGTAGTCTCAAATCTACTCTATAATAATAATAAAAAATCTGAATCTGCATCCATTCCTGGATAAAAAAACCCAGACTTTCACAAGTAGATGTCTACATCCCTGCACAGTGACTCTCTGAGCCCAGCTTGTTCCCTTATTCCAATAGGCTGAGGCGAGAAATTTCTGTGTCATATCAAACATTACTGAGTACTAATTAATTTAGAGTATTCATAAGGTATCAAGCAATTTAAATCCAACTTGCAGATGACAACACAAAACCAGACAATCGGCTATGAAAATGGGAAAACAATTTATTGTATTCTATGTGAATCTCAGGTTGTCACCTCCCTTTTCTCCATACAAGTCATTACCATGATTAAATGCCTTTTTATATTGCAATGGTCATTCTTCTCAAGTTTCAAGTAAAACTGTATAAATTAATCACTGGATTTATGTCCAGACACTTTGATAGGTGACCTGGTTATTAGAGACTCTTTGCTCATTCACAGTTCTTATGGATAGCATCAAGAATAGCAGCTCTGAAAAAATAAAGTATAGGGGACTTAATGGCCTGAACAGCCGCAGCTGGTGTCATTTGAGATGCCCTAGAGTGGGCCTGGCATGGGTCTGGCAAACATGACACAAACCCTACAGGAGGCATGCATTCTTCGGGCTCAAGGAACTGTGGGGTAGAGGATACCCCAGGGCCTCTAAAAAGACACTAGATACTTAAGTTTAAGCAACTAAAACTTATCTTTGATTTTCAAATATTTTGACCCATGAAAGTCAACAGGGCTTTTGTTTCTAAACCATCTACTTTCTTTTAAAATGGCAACCGTAGCCTTTATTTCTGGTTTTGACAAGACACCACTATTAGTTTACTCAAAATTGAAAACAAAATAGAGTAAAAAAAAATCTTGCATCTGGCGTCATTCTCTTATGACAACTCTTCTTGCTTTCTCGATTTATTTTTTTCCCCCCACTGGTAGTGAAGCCTGGCTGCCAAATGAAAGAATAAATCTCTTGTATGGAGCTGTGAGATGAGCACTGAAGAATGCAGATACATAGAGAATGAACCTAATATAGGCAGGTGTGAATCTCTGAACCGCACACCCCAGAACAGATATGTTGCCTTCCTCACACTCATAAATCATTTTCAGACAACAATTCTGTTTTTTAATTAAGCGCTTCTTTTGGGGAATGTCTTGAGGTAGTGATGCACAGGTTATTCTGGGAAAGTGTTGGCATTTCAAAACAGATGGTGCAAGTTTGTCCATGTTTTGTTTTCAGTTCTACCTTCTAGCTTGCTCATACTCATGCTACACTTCCAATTGTAGAGAAGTCTGTGACAGGTTTAAAAGTAGTAGCTCAGCTTCCAGGACCAGGCTAGCTGGAAATCTTTAGACTGCCCGTGACCCACCGAGGAACTGTTCCTACATCTACGCTTGGTCTAGGCGTAGAGCACAGAAGTTGCAGAAGCCATACATTTGATACCTGAGCAGCCCTTGCCATGAGTTGTCTGCACCGTTGAGCTGTGCATCAGAGGTGTTTCAGAGTTGACAGAATAACCAGAGAGATCAGTAAATCTGTGTAAGTGCTGACTGGCAGACACCAACTCTCTGATGTAGGAAGAGAGGCTGTTGTAGGAACAGTTGTCTCCAAGCATGGGTGACCACGGCACAGGGATGCTCAGTCTGGTAGCTAGATAGTTACGCAGCAGATGACTGTGCATCGAGCTCTTTGTGAAATGGAAACTAAATAGTGTTTCTGTGTTGACTGAAGGTGATACAGATTTAAACAAGGATTGGAACCTAGGGGCAGCTTCAGACACTGTATCCAAATAGCAGATTTTGGGACCCACACTGCATAATGCCTTCTATCTACTGCTGCTCCTGCTGAAGTAACTATGATGCTTTGAGTGGTAAAATACTACATGGCAAGGTTATACAATCTGGAAGTTAGGATTCAAGAGGCTTCATGTTATATATTTATAGGAGTTTCAGATATAACTGTGCACATTTTTCTGTGTGCTATTTTAGCCTAAAGGCCATGTGAGTGTATCATGGATCAAACAGTGTCAGCCATGCCTTATTCTGGTGACAAGAATGATACTGTTTTTATGTCAGTCTAGACATGAATCATATATTCTTGTTAGAATTCTGATTTTATAAAAGTCTTGAGAGATATCCTACACATCTATGTCATCAGCAAACAGGAAAAATAGGGGAGCAAACCCACTGTGCTCAGTACAGCTTTTAAGTTGAAGTTTAGTAAAAACACACATTTACTTTTTAAGGGCAGTTATGCCTGAGAATATGCTTGTGAAATGGAATGTAAACTGGAAGTTTTTCACAGCAGATGAAATACTACCTGCAGAGCCGGCTGCAGCCCCATGGAAGCCAGGAGGGAATCTGGTTGCCGCAGGCAGAGCCTGGTACCTGGACGCCTGAGGTTTTGCTTCACTCTGCTTCTAGCCTGGGACTTCGTTCTGCACAATCTTTTTCAAAGCAGTCTTTTATCTGTGAATGCCCTCTGCCTCTCTTCAGCTGTTAATGGCATATTGCCTTGGCCTCAGAAAACGAGGGACTGAATCGGCACTGTAGCTTTCAGCTGTTTCCATCCCTTTGGAGGAGAGGG